GGAAGGCAAGGGCGCACTACGACTACACGATGTATAGTACTCCCATTTCACATTCTAATACGGTATGCATCGTGATGAACTGGTGGTTGTACGGCGTAAGTTGGCCTGTGCTGCAACTCGATTAGTTAGCAGCTGAAATAAAGTAAGGGTTGTTTTATTCTGCTGAAATGCAGAACTTGTGTTTAGCGTTGTTTTATCTTCAATCGGGCTTATATTATTTTAAACGTCTGGTTGTTTAACGCAGTTAAACAACGGGCAAACTACATGAAAAGCACAATAACTACTATTAATAAGTAATAGCGTAGTGTTAGGGCTCGTCTGGTAACCGGAAATATTGCAATATTAAGGCCCAAAACGCCATTTTGGGGCCGAATTCAACAAATCTGGTCAAAATTGAAACATGTCTTGCTTGTAGAGTTTAAACCCAAATCCAATAATTCCACGTGGGATATACTCGTTGAATAGGTCCAAAACGCCATATTACAAAATGGACCTTTTACCTCATTTTAATATCCCATTTTGCCAGAAAATGCAATATTAGTTTTGAAATGTTACCAGACGCACCCCTAGTGTCCTTCACTGTCAAGTACATAGTATTCCGGAAAGTAAATAATCCACACTTTTCTACAAACTAATCTCGGCTGTCTCTATAAACTAATCCTTACCTAGTAATCACGGGATCACGGGACTTAACCAACTTATGTGACATGCGGATTGCGCAATCTCTGCCTTGTTATTTTCAAATCGATGTCCCAAGAGAATGGATTAAAGAAACGCCCAAGCCAATCAAATCACGTCCTGTCAAATTTCTGCCAATCCAAACGATTGACCCTCCGCATTGGTAAAACCACATATATAATCATCTTTGTATAGTATAGTTTGTACCAGCTTAAATGAGATCAAGTGGCCGAATGCTCTTTGGCGAAATGACTCACAAGTCCAAATTTGGGTGAAATGCACAATACCGTACTTCGTATGTTAAAGCGATCACGATGTTAAGAGCATCAAGTGGTACATCCTCCATCTTTCTATATTTATCACCCAAAGTGGATATATAATGTTTTGAAGAAAATGGTCAAAAGTTTGCCTCACGGAATTAATTCCTCTCAAT